GCTCCTGCTCCTCCTGCTCCTCCTGCTCCTGCTCCTGCTCCTCCTGCTCCTCCTGCTCCTGCTCCTGCTCCTGCGCCTCGGGCTCATCGGGCTCCTCCTCCTCCTCCGGCCGGCTCATTGTTCTTGTCTTTCGACTCAAGTCTGCGGCAGGACAACACGTTGTTCACGCTCATCGCAAGGGATACCGCGTCACATGTCTCTGCGGAGAAGTTGCTGTTAACTGCGAAGGAGACCCTCTGTTCTCTGCCTACTGCCACTGCAAGGAGTGCAGGTATCCTTATCCTTGCTCTCCTGCTCCTGCTCCTGCTCCTGCTCCTGCTCCTGCTCCTGCTCCTGCTCCTGCTCCTGCTCCTGCTCCTTTGGTTTCGTCCTCGTTCTGACAATCCCCCTCATCCTCCTTCCCCTTTCCTCATCGATTTGTTTCTTACCGCTTCGATCCATCTACAACTTCCCGATCCCCTCCCGTCCTCGTCCTCGTCCTCGTCCTCGTCCTCGTCCTCGCTCTCGTCCCTCCTCTTTGCTTCTCTCACCTGTTCTACCAGGAGGACAACAGGAGCGCCTGTCTTCCATGGCGCAGGTTTCGAGAAAGAGCAAGTCAAGATCTCCTTCACCTCCTCCTCCTCCTCCTTCTCCCTCTCGCCGTCCTCCTCCCCTCCGCCCCCTTCCTCCTCCTCCTCCCTGGGCTCCTACGTGGCCAACCGCATGATCCGCTACTTCTGCAAAATGTGCGGTACCTATGTCTTCGGCGACTGCCGGGAGACATGCATGGCGGACGTGATCGAAGTTCCTTGCGCGCTGATGGAGGATCCTCCTCCTCCTCAGTTCCACGCCTACGTGCTGGAGCGACTGTCCTGCCTCAGTCTCAACGACGACTTGCCACAGCATGAGGACTGGCCGTTGAAGATGCGAGCGAATGAGGAACGATGAGAGGAGGGGGAGGAGAGAGGGGAGAGAAGCTGGATGGAGAGGAGGAGGAGGAGGAAGAGGAGGAGGAATGTGGAATACGAGAGGAGCAGAAAAGGTGCTGGAGGAGTTGGTGCAAAAAAGGACGATCAACTGTTGGGGCAAGAAGGTCAAAGTGGAACCTGAAATCAAGAAGCAAAATTTGAAAGTCTCAGGAGATTCTCGTTCGTGGTTGCGCTTTTTTGTGAACATCTTGTAAACTAGCTAGTAAACGAGCGGGACATGTCAGAATCTACTCGGCCTTGCGAAGTCGAAATTTCCGATGTGGTTGCTTGCTGATCGAAAAATGTCAGAAGGACTTGCGATGAACACTCTTGTTCATCACATATAAGAAAGAAACCTCAACAACGTCATCTTCAACTCCTTGCAAGACTTGTACGACGCTGACGACCGTCATCGTCAGTGGCGGCGAAAGAACAACACACAAAGACTCACCATCTCGAAGCATCCGGTACATCATGTACAACAACAACACAACAGAGAAGACGAAAAGAATCTGCCGTGGAGCGAGTGAGCCAGCATGGACATCACACCGCAAGTCTGCTCACGTGCTGATCTCTTGGGTTGCGGAACGCGAAGAGCAACTCAACCTAAGAGGAGAAGAGAGGTGAGAGCATGTAAGACGGCAAACGACTGATAACCTCCTGTCCGTCCTCGAAGCCCTCCTTGAAGTCCAACATGGAGACCTGCGGTGAAAGACATGAGTCAACTCAACATCAACTCCTCCTCTCCCCTCCTTGCTCCCCCTGTCTCCCTGCTCCCTGCTCGCTGCTTGCTCCTTGTTCCTCGCTCCAACTCCTGGCTCTCTGCTCCTGGCCCCTCGTTCTTTCCTCGCCTTTTTCCTCCCTATCCACTCCCCTCCTCTCCTCTCCTGGCTGTTTCCTCTCCCTGTTCCTCCTCCTCCTCTTCCCTACTCACCCCGATCAGGTTTGGAGAAACCGCAAAGTGCTCCACGCGCTTCTCCTTCCCCCGCCCCTCCTCCCTCCACCTCGCCACCACAGTCCACAGCGAGTGAAAGCTCATCTTCAGCACGACAACATCCGAACCCGCCGGCCTGAACCCGCCATGGCACTTCACTCTCGCCGCCACCCTCCCAGGATCACGTTCCTCCTCCCTCACAACCTCGCACCTGCTCCTCCCGCTGCCCTCCATCCCCGCTCCCCATCTCGACTCCACCGCAACCTGCACCAGCTTACTGACCTGCTCTAGCCCAGCTTTGATCGTCTCCATTCCCACAAGGCGGAGATTGTAGGCCGCAAACTTCTCTATCGCCTGCTGCAGGGCCACCGGCCCCTCGAGACCTTTCCTCTTCACGTACTCCGAGTTGCTCTCCAGCACCTCCAGCACGTCTCTCTCCCCAGCTCCCTCCAAAGTATCTTTCCCCCTTCCTGCTCCTCCTGCTCCTCCTGCTCCAGAGCAGGAACCCCTGCTGAGGCTGGGCAGCATGCCTTGCTCGTACATACCCCGGGTGATATTGAGCAGGAGGTAGCGGAGGGCAGGGGACTTGTACCCTCCTCTCGAGCAGACGACAAGCGGGGAGGAAACGATCTCAACCAGCCCGAACTCCCCGCTAACTTGGTGGAGGCTGTACCCGTTCCCGAGCTGGGAGATGCACCCGTCCATTGAGACGTTGGCAGCGCAGCTGGGGAAGACGGTAGAAATGTAGCTGGGCACCTGCAGGACCTTCTTCTTGGCGACCACCACGTGCTTTACGTTGTACAGGCGGAACAGAGCTGGAGTCCAGCTGAAGTGCTCGAGGTGCCAGAAGCTGAGGGTGTCGTGGTAGCCTCTAGAGTAGGAGATCAGCCCTGCCGCCCCCGCCACGTGCGCGAGCATGTTGAGCGTGAAGTGGGAGCGGGTGGACTGGTGTACCATGTACCTGTGCCCGGCACCTGCTGGGAGTTCAGGTGAGGAGGAGGAAAGAGGATGATGGAGATGATGATGATGATGATGATGATGATGATGATGATGATGATGATGAGGAGGAGGAGGAGGAGGAGGAGGAGGAGGAGGAGGAGGAAGAGAGAGGATGTCAAAATTGTAAAAGGGATACCTCGACGCTTGTCTTCACGCAGGTGCTCTACAATGTCTCTGTAGCCCAGGCTGTTGATGTCAAAACTGATGAATTATCAGTCATCTCCTGTTGCATACGGCGCATGATCAGCTCCCGCGATCT